TACAGTCTCCTCTTCCTGAAATCCAACTTCAAGGTCATTCCTACAGTTTCCAAGAAACTTGGTTCATCTGATACCATCCGGGCAGATCAAGTGGATTGCCCTTGCAATTAAATACAAGTAGCTAGCATCAAATGCAAACGTGTCACCATTTCCAATGCCTCTTTTCTACCTTTCCGATTACTCACTACCGTGTGGATGCAAATGCAACCCATCATTACTTTTATTTAGTCTCAATTTACGTTATGGCCCCCCTGAGAATAACTATGAGCTCATCGATAGTGTTAAGATTTCCCAAATGGAATCATTGCTCTGTTTTCCCTATGCCTTAGTAAGCTCAATTAAGATCCCTTGATACTCAGAAGATTTAACCTTCCAAGAAATAAGCTTTCCACACTCTTTTACTGAGTCCTATAAGTTCCATGTTCCTTGAGCAGCTCAAAAGCTGTGAATGATGTTCTGATCACTACCGATGCAAGAATATCACTTCAACTAGCTCGCAATAAACAAAAAAAACACGTTTAACTAGAATTTACATGGTTTTAAGCTGAGATTCGCCTCCACGCGATCTACGCAGCACGGCCGCGCCAAACCTCGGGAGAAATAGCGCGGCGGAGACAGGGACAATCGGACACGTGTAGGACACTCCACGTGGAGTGCTGTTGAGGGGACACGAGGTCAAAATGCCTTAGAAACGGCCGGGAGAAGCCGAAAATCGACGGGGATACGCACGGAGAAGGGAGTTTGCGGTGAGTTTGCTGGGTTTTAGTGCTGCCGGAGAGTGGAGCGGGGGACGATGGAGGCGACGGAGATGAGAAGCTCCGGAAAAAGACAATGGGGTTAAACTCTCAGATGTTTAGATCTGTTGGGGCTTTGGGGCGTAGGGTTCCTTTTCTTTTTTCTTTTTTACTTTCGGAAATATTGTTTTCATTTATTTGGCTTTTATCTTTCATTTGATACTTGAAACAAAAAATTTGATTAAAAAAATTCATTAAATAAAAAAATAAATTAGATTAATTTATTTTCCAAAAACCTAAAAAAAGATATTACAATCTGCACCATAAAAAAATACCAACACATCAATGTTATTTTAAAAAAATGTACTCCGTATTTAATTAACGGTTGAAATTATTTAATCTTGTGAGTTAATCTCAAAAATGAAAATTAAACTTTATCCTTAAATACTCCGTTACTTTTTCAAAACAAAAAAAGCTAAACCATGAAATATGTGCTTGATGACAACATCTTCATTCCTTAAAAAAATATTAATGTTTATTGAAAGCGTCATTGAATATTTTTTTTAAAAAAAAATTCTAGCTAGAGTAACAAATACTCGGTATCTTGGACACAAACTTAGTATTTCGGGACTTTTTCAAGCGAATAAAAAGATTTTATATAATTTTGAAACAAAAAGTTAAATATACAAATGGTATATTTATGTAGTTTGTGTCTAATATTTATTGACTTGTGATAAACAACTTTTAAGTTATAAACTGCTTATAAATCAAAAAAAAATTGACAATATAATGACTTAAATGATAGAAAAGTCATTTATAAATATTCATAAATGGTGAGAACGATTTTGTAAATAATCTGGTCAAAATGGGAAAACGAAAAAATTGGGTTAAAAATAAGTAGTTAAAACCTACTTATTTTCTGGTTTATAAGTAGCAACTTATAAGTCAGTTTATAAGCATGCAGAAACATGTCATCAGCTAACTTTTAAATTAAAAAATTTATAAGCAATTTTGACCAGCTTATAAGCACAAAGAAGCACCCACTAAATTCTACAGAGTATTATAAATATAAGTTCACACTTACTCCATATCAAAAGAAATTTCTTACGTTCTTTTTTTGGCCGTCCTAAATAAATTTGTTGGTCTACATTAATTTCTTTATTTCCAAATAAATTTTAATTAAATTATTTTTTACTTCTTCCGTGTTATAATATTTTTCAAAAATGAAAAAAACATATCACAAAAAAGAGTGTTTTCGATACTCTACTGGTACTATTTTCTAATTATTTCGTATAATTTATTTATCCTACACATTATATCCTACATCATTATGTAGTACGGAGTATATAATGAAAAATAAATTAAAAAATAATTTTAAAATTACACATTTTTAAAACATGTTTTTTTTGTTTTTGAATTTTTGCTTTGGGATGAGGAAGTTTTTTTTTCTTTCTAAAATCCATGAAATCCTTACTGATAACGCAAAATAAGCCAAAAATCAGAGCCAGATTTCCATCACGAAATCTCCGTTCCACCGATTTGGAATTCGAATTGCTATACAAAAACCCTAGTTCATACTTCATACCCACTTATCATCCGGCTGGCTACGATCAATCTGATTTCAGTTTCAATTTCTCTGTGAATTTTCGTCTTCTCCGTCGAAATATGAAAGCTTCGATCAAGTTCCGCGAGGATCAGAAGCCATTGCTGAGAGCCAAGGTCCCTATCAGCATCCTGAGCTTCCCTTTCCAATCGGGAATCGCCGCCGGCGATTCCAAGGAACTCTCTCTCAGCCTCCGCACTTTCTTCGACGCCGGCCCCTCTCTCAGGTTCTCTTACCGCCCCAATGATTCGCAGAAGCCGTTTAGCTTTGTTCTGAAAACCGGCATCGGCCACTTCGGGTCTCCGGATTCGAGCCCGTTCACAATGAGCGCCGAGTTCAATCTGATCGGGAATCAAAACCCTAGTTTCTTCGTTCACTTCAAGCCTCGGTTTGGGGATTTCTGCGTCAATAAGTCACACTCCTCTTCGGATCTCGCGAAGAGTTTCAGCTCCGATTCCAAATTGAACGGCGCCGCCGGCGACCTTTTGGGGACGAAGGTATTAGGGGATCACGCCAATTTCTTCGACCCAAAATTTAGGGTTCCCACCCCTGAATCTGCTGTGAATGGGGTGGTTGAGAAGCTATTCTCCGGCGCAACCGTGAGCGCGAGGACTTCACTTCCATTGAAAAGCCGGGCAGTTGTGAGCTTCTGTTGGGGACTGAGGTTTCCATTGGAGTCCAGGGAGGACGACGGTGTCCTAGTGGGGAAGAAGACAGATCATATGGCCAACATATCTTTCAGGAATCTCCCATTGCTCGTGATGAACAAAATCTGCATCGAGCACGTGGCTGCCAAGGGCAACTCAAAGAAGGGTCCTGCAGGGAATGCAGATGTTGGAGAAGAACCCGGTTTGAAATTGCAGAGACAGCTTGAACTTATCCAAGCAGAGATTGGGCTTCTGAGGAATGCTCAGAATGACTTCAGAGCAGAAATAGTGGGCTCCGAAAGGAAAGGATCCAAATTTCAACTCGGTGGCCGAGGGAACCAACCAGAGAAGAAACAATCCGATGCGAGTGGGTTGAAGGAGAATACCTCAGATGATTTGAATGGGAAGTTGAAGAAGGCCATACAAGCCAGCAATGGGAAATAGAAGGGTTTTGGCTTTTGTTCAATCCATTCTTCAATTTGCTGCCATTAGTGAGTTTGTTATAGCTTTTAGGCACAATTCTTGCTTCCTTTTATATCTTAAAAGTATTTCTTTTCGCTTACATTTGGAGTGTATTTACTCTTCCATGACTTGTCTTAGCGGCCTTGAAGCGAAATAAAATTATTTTTCAAAGGAAAAAAAAATACGAAGTGTAGAGCTCAACACAAATTCGCATATCATTTGACTTTAGTTTTTAGCTTTAACATTCTGAGAATGTTATCTAACTGTAACTTTAATGTTTTCAAAGTTAATCTGTTTCATTTAAAAACAAGGCCAGTGTGGCTCAAAGTGGTGAAGAACTCACTTTTGGACGACTTCTCAAGTGGAATTTTAGATTCTTTTATCTTCCCCTAGAGGCCATATATACTTAAAATGGACAACAAGCAAGGCTTCCTGCAAATTAGAAAGTGTTAATGTGGTTGCTACTTTCTTGTTATAGTGTATAATTCAATAAATTTGGTACAAAATTCACTAACAGTGCAACTTAAAAGGAGTTAAATGATATACTCCCTCTCTTACAAAAAAAACAAAAAAAAACTTTATTTTTCGACTTTTTTGGTCAGATTTTTACCCACTTTAACGATTCTATATGAAGGACTAATACGACTATAATCTTAAAAATGAAAACGAATCTCACACCAATTTCAATACTCCTTATCAATTTTTACACGACATGTCAACTTTGATTGTTTAATTGTTTTCATTTAAAACTGAGCGTATGATTGAAATGTAGCAACATATTTCGTATAATTTACCTTTTTAAAATTCTTAGACAATTCGACATTGTTTCATGATTCATTTTATAAATCAAAATCAATGCAACAAAAATGTTCTAAAAAGTGTTAAATCAGTCTCCATCTTTAAAAAAAAAAAGATGAATCAAATTTTAAACTAGTTTGATCAATAGAATGAAATGAAATGTCTTTAGAGTATGATTGTTATTTTTATATCAAGGTTCCCAAAAGTTAAAATGGGCACTGGCTTGGGCCAAATACTCTGTATTGAGTATGCTATGACTTTTGACAAAATGGTTAACTCCGAATTATACTCTGTGCAAAATAAAGTTCCAATTTGGATTTATAATATTTGATTGACATTATTTTCTAATTTAATTTATTTTTAATATTGGAAAAAAATTAAAAAAAAATAAGAGTGAAATTTTTCATTTTTAAACACTACCAAAATTCTACAAAGCAAGAAACGAGTAAAAAAAAGTGTATAAAAAATATAGTGAGTATTTCTCTTTGCAAGTGCGGGCTTATGATTAATAAACAATTTTTAATTTATAAGTCGTTTATGAGTTAAAATATTTGTGTAGATAAACTGACTTAAATGATATACAAGTCATTTGAGGATATTCCCACAAGGGAGAAATACTTTTGTAAGTAACCCAATTAAAACGGAAAAACGGAAAAGCTAGCCTAAAAATAAGTAGGTAAAACATACTTATTTTTTCTAGTTTATTAGTCAACTTATAAACACAAAGAAATACATCATCAACTAACTTATAACTTATAAGTTAAAAACAGTTTATAAACGCAGAAAAACACCCACATAATTTAGATTTTAGTGAACGATAACCTTCTTTTGATGGAGTATTCATTAATCAAGAACTTCTAACATTATTATACCCGGAGTAGATGATCATGATACTTCTGAAAAGAATCCACTGCTCATGACTTAAGTCCACACAACATGCCTATCCATAATAGACCATACTACAGAAAATAAAACCAATTTGCAGCTAAAAACTTATTATGGCCATCAAAACTGTCAAATGGAAATCAAGGAGAAGCAGCAGCAGCTTGTTGTTTAGCAGTCTCATAGCTCTGGTCCTTTGGGATGTCAAGACCCTTAAAGACTGGGCTGTCGACGCCAACTCCCATAGCATTAAGGCCATTATCAACATAAACAACGGACCCTGTTATGGCTGAAGCCAGCGGCGATGCCAGGAAAGCCGCTACGTTCCCCACTTCCTCTGTGACACCAAAGAGACATTATTCATTGTTTGTTTTTTTTAGAAATCGAGAAAGAGCAAGAGAAAGCAAGTCCTCTTGGTCGAATGGATGAAGGACCAACTTAGACTCTGGGGTCAGTCCCCCCAAGGAAGCATGGGAAGGGAGTTGAAAAAAGGGGGATAGTTTGGGGTATAAAGAATCAAAGGTTTGGGTGGGGTTTGTGATCACCAAGGTGAATGTGCCTCGGCTTCAGAGTTGTAGCAGGCTATTATTCGGGTTGTACTTTCTTAAAAAAATAAAAAAAAATGTAGAACGGGTAATTAATAAAAAAATGCAGACAAGGAGTAATTGGGGCTGTGGGGGGCTTTGCTTATGCTCACCTGCGGACAACTCCTTTTGCAGAGGAGCATTCTCAGAAGAGTAATCAATCATCATATCGATAAATCCAATAGCTTTAGCAGCACGACTTCTCAGTGGACCTATCACGGTTTCACTTTCAATCAGTATTAGGAGTAACTGAAAGTATCAAGTGGAGCTAATGATTGCAAAACAAACTTAATCTGAAGAGGCGAATGGATAACTGGATCATACCTGCAGAAATTGTGTTGACTCTGACCCTGTGCTTCCTTCCCGCCTCGAAAGCCAATACCTTTATGGTGGAAATAACCCCATTGTTAGCAAACCTCACATTTGAGGTTGATGCAGAAAGTGAAACGAGTCTAAGAAAGAACGTACCCTGGTGTCACTCTCTAAAGCAGCTTTTGCTGAGCTCATGCCACCACCATATCTGCAGTGTTTACAGAGAGCAATAATATTAACTGGGGTCTTCTTTGAAACAACCTCTATACTCTTGGTTAAGAGAACATTTTGCCCCACTCAGACCTTACTTATGAGAGGGATATACGGGATTTTATTTGGTGCGGTTTGATAACATACTTCCTCTGTCCCAAATTAAAGTTCATGTTTCCATTTTCACTGAGTTTAAGAAAATGTAACAAAGTGTGTTTGAGATTTATGCAAAGGAAAGAAATAATGCGAACCTTTCGATGTTTAAAAAGAATGATAGCTTTATTTTGGGATAGAAGGAGTAGTATAAAACGCTAGTGAACTGAAAGACTGAGATTATTATAAAAAGAAAACATTCCACTTTTTGCTCCACAACTTTTATTTTTCTAGTTTGCCCAGGCAATTTCGATATCATGTTTGCTGGATAAATGGCCTAAAGAGAGCAAAAATGGCAAGAAATCCACATTTGTGCAACACAATGGAGATATGGATGGCAGGGACCAAAAGTTGAAATGACCAAATGGTCAGGGGACAAGAAAGGATAGCTTTTCTTTTTATAAAGGCTTACCCAGGAATTATCCTTTCCGAAGCAATGTACGTTAAAGAGATTGAAGCACCACCTAAAAGGTAAAGAGAACTTCAGTTTTGCAGAAGGCTTGAACTATAAATGCATGGATCTATTTTACATATTAGCATATAATATTAGTGGGAAAAACAAGCGAGAAAAAAGTCTACCTGGATTTATAATGGGAATAAAATGCTTCAGTAAAGAAATATACGAATAACTTGATGCAGACAATGCAGCGAGGTATCCATATCTTGATGTTTCAAGTAGTGGTTTGGTAACCTGTGCAGAAAATTATAATAATGATGCATTATTATCAGGTTTGAGACAACACTACTAATGATACTGAAATTAAACCATAAGTATACCTCCGGACCATTAGCTAGGGAATGCACAAGAATGTCAATAGTGCCAAAATCCTGTTTCACACACTCTGCAACTTCCTACAGGGAACATATGGATTTGTATTTAAAACATAGACAGTTAGTGCACTTGGCCTAAAATTGTGAAGTGCAGCACCTTGAAGTTATATACTCTGTAAGAAGTTCATAATTACTAAGGTGGTGGTGATGTGAAAGTTGATCTTTTAATGATGAAGGTAGACCCAACGTAACAGCAACATTATCAATTACATAATCTAAATAACAAACCATGTTTCATTGAGGGATAAATCTTCCCGTGGAGTGGGAAAAACGGAATATACTAGGACCAAAATGCCTGAGTAATAACTTACTATTGACTTTTTTTCATAGTGAAAGTGAGGATATTGTAGCCTTTAACTCCTTGTACAGTTTGCTTTTTTTAACATCTTGTACGAAACACCAAAACACGTACTACTCGTATCATCTTTCTTAGTGAATAAATACTACTTTCACTCCAGAACGCAATATGATAGAGGCATGCAATGTGTATCACAGACACAGTTGTAAAAAAGATACATAAATATGATACCTTAACAGTCCAATTTGAGGACCCTGCATAACGCTTGTTGGATTTCACCTGATACCACAAATATCTTTAAGTTAAGAGGTTTCAATATCATGTTTAAATTCAGTAAAAAAATCAGATGACGGGACAGCTTACATCTTCTGGAACATCATCAGGGTTGTCATAAACAGCATCTAGTGGGTACACTTTTTTTATTTCCATCAATGAACCATCTGGCAAGCTGAAATGCGGTATATATACATGGTTATCATCATCTAAAAACTAACAATACTAAGGGTGAAGAACAATTCTGCCCTTACACTCTTGATTCATCAAATTTGCCGCGTCGCAGGCTGCTCTCAAAAATATTTAGAGCCTAAATAAAGAGAAAAATTATGAGAAATATTTATACACAGCCAGAGAATAACTTCAACTAAATAGCATTTACAAAGTTGTATATATACATACTGGAACCCATGTACCAACGAGAATTTCAGCACCTGCAGCAGCAAGAGACTTTGCTATTGCCCATCCGTAGCCATTATCATCTGCCACACCAGCAATAAATGCTCTCTTGCCTGCAGTTAGTAGTTAATTATGTCATTGTACACAAAATGGTTAACAGATCACAAAATTCATAAGCGTCCTAATCCACATTCAGTAGAATAGAATAAATGATCTTTACAGTAAGAAAAGGCATATGCATTTTACAACAATGTCAGCAAAATGAACACATACATACATTTATTTTATGTAGAGAAGATACATATTCTTTTGCAAGATAAGAAAAAGTGGAAGACTTATTGCCTTCAAAAGTCGCACAGAAAAGTTTGTTAAAATTCTGTAACAATCTTTCCAATACAAATTTTTAAAAAAGCTATTCTAGTTTGTTCAAACATATTTAAAACAGCATTAGAATGTAAATAATAAAAAAAAAGACTAGAAAAATATACTCCGTACTATACACACTAGCAAAATCTTCACAGAATCATAAAATGAAGGTTTCCGTGAGATGAAAATATAAAAACCTCTTAGGTCAATAGGCAGCCCAGGCAATTGCTCTTTATCATTTGAACTGGACATTGCCCTAGTAACCATCCTTTGAGATTTTAAAGGATTGCTATTAAACCCTCGAGACGGTAGCTTAGTCGTTGACATAAAGCACAAACTTTTAAGCTCTGCTGCAGATCTTCCCCTATTTTCAAAACCAAAACTTGAGGGGCTGGACTTGAAAAATTTCCGAGATGCAGAAACACATAGGTTGGCCGCTGCAATTTGAAGGCTGGGAGTAGCAGTGGCAGCCATTATGGGAAGCTTAAATTCACAAGAGTAAAGAAGAATCTGCAATATGACACAGCAAAGCAGACACGAAATGAGCTTGAATTTGTCATATAATATCTATTTATTCTATGCATTATTTAAAATGGTGCAGATTCTTTTGCCAATTTTTCTGCCAAACGAGGCAGAAAAAACTATAACCAAAATAAAGGTGGGCTTTTTAGTACAGCATCATCAATGATGATTGCTTAAGTATCCGTCAAATGAATATAATTGGCTTATATTTTGGCTCTTTTGTTTCAAATAAAATGTACAGTGGGAGAGAGTTGTGCAGAGAATTATTTACTTCAAACCACAAACTATCAAAAATGAAAGCTATATAGGTTCACACTTCCCACTAACAAAATTCAAACTTTTTAAAACTTATCCCATCCCCCACCCAATGAATGGAAGGGTGAAATCAGCAAGTGCTATCAGACTATAAATTGAGCTAAAAAATTATAGTTTTTCACACTAGCAATCTAACCCGACATCTCTTGATATACTTTCCTTTTTTCAATAAGAAAAGAATGCTTTAAATGCAGATTTATCATTTTATGCATTTGCTATTGTTAAAAATTAAAATAAAATACAGATATTTTGATGTAATATCCACTTAATATTAAAAACAATATACCATAAACACATACATGCAGATCAGTCTACCATATACAAAATATATACAATCACAAAATGAAAAAATATATCTTCGTATATAACAAAGCAGAAAGAAAAAAATGATATTTAGAGTGGTGTATCATACACAGCATTTCATATTTGAAGTTTTTTACAATAGATCTTAAAATTCTACGTTTCTACAAAAAAAAATGAAACTGAGTCTCATTTGTGGATAACTGACACAAAACATAATTTTGTATATTGGAATATGGGATAAGGTTGGGAGCTGAAGCATCCAGGACCGGAGATGGACGCACAGAGAGTAGAAGATGAAATGCCCGGATTGAAACAGTGCAATTGTCAAATATAAAAGCAGAGCTGATTGGAAACTTGTATACACATGATAAATTATGTGATGAGGAACTAATGGTCATTCGAAGAAAACAATAAAGTTTGATTTCTAGCGCAAAGAGCAGAAAATGAACTCAAAACTCTCAAAAAGAAATTCTTTCACAAAGCACGAGGCTAAGAAACGAGCTTATAATGCAATGTACTGTTAAAATTACGGTAAAAATCACAAAAATTAAAAAAAAAAAAGAGAAACAGATAGGATGTGCTCAAACCAGGCTTAAAAAACAAGGATGCGATAAAATCAGAAGAATCGCTGCAATTCAAAATCAACTAAATCGGAAATAAACATCTGGAAATGGGGAAATACTCCGGGTCGAACCCACGAGAACGAAAATAACGATTTTTGGAACAAAAACAGAAGAAATCCATCTCCATTGTACAGATGCGTATACATTTCACAACAGGATTTGAGAAATTGTTCCAGGAAAACTTACCTGGATCAAAGAGGCCGAAGGGAGCGTCTGAATCTAGGGCTCGTTCTAGCGGTTATGAGGAGATATGAGGTGTTAGATGCGATCGTAAAGGGTTTTTTTTTCGATGAAAACGAAGCAAGTGACGAGCGAGGCCGGCCGTTGGGGAGCTTTGAAAGTGCCGCCGTTGTGAGTACTTGGGCTCGACAAGGACCCGTCTGGACGAACCAGATGATGTCTATGTGGTTAAATTTTTTCTTAAAAATTAAGGTTAAAATAAGGTTATAATTCTGTGAAGTACCCCTGCGTCTCAAAATATAAACAACATTCCACTATTTAAAAATCACGAGAACTTTTATTTATTTTTACATTTTCATTGATTATTTGATATAATAAAATATTCTTGTCACCACTTGTTTTGTAGAACTTTTAACGTAGTTTTTAAATATGTAATTTTTATTTTTCATATTTAGACCATTCTTTAAATAAAATGGATTGAAAAAATTCAAAAAATTACTTCGTTTAGCATAATATTGCTTATATTTTGGGACGGATTGAGTAGTAAATAACTCAATATATTTAAAACTTTATCAAGTAAAATAGTTGGTCGAAGATAATCGTGGAAAATGAAAGTATGGACTTGTTTGAGAACGACATTTTTCAATTGGAGTTTTGAGTGTTTTTTTAATGATGTAAATTATTTGTAAAATGTTAAAATTAAATACTTCCTCTATCATAAATTATCTTCATTTTAACTATTAAGGCCCCTCGATAAGTTATGTTCACTTGGAACTTGTGAATAGTGAAATGTCGTGTAGTTCATATGCTCCCATGAAAATGCATTACTCGTCGGTGAGCATTGCACTTGATAAGCCAATGGGTGCCCAAAGGTAATACTTGAATTTGCTTTTTGACAACTGCACTAGATAGTAACTATATTAAACATAAGACCTCTCCAATTACCAACGATTCAGAGGGATCACTAGGGATGGGTTTATCCTTTTTACTTACAAACTTTTTTCATGTGTTTCCATTTTTCATTAAGGGTTAGTATGGTACGACATAAAGATTGACGCTAAATGCGCAGTTTGTAGGGGTGCTACGAAACCCATTGCTCGTCTTTTCTTTCGGTGTCCTCTAGTAGTGGCTACTTAGAACTTGTTGGGACAGACATGTCAATCTCATCTATTACATACAGACTCATTAGATGAATGGATGGAGAACTAGTTTTCAAAATTATTTCTTAATGCAAAATAACTATACAGAAAATTTGGAGGGTTAAAAACAAAGCTGTTTGGGATCAGTACATCCCTTTACCACAACCCGTGGTGAGATGGGTCAAACAAGTCATACACGTTTCACTAATCAGATTTAGTCAAATGGGAGGAAATGAGTTGATGTAAATAACTCTTAGTCAGTGCACAATATTTCCTAGTTGTTTTGTAGATGCAGTTGTATTTCCTCCCTATAGTGCTGCCGCTTTTGGGAGTGTTATCATTAGCTAGGCAGGTTCCTTCTATGACGTGTAAAGAAGCTCTTATTTGGACAAAAACTAAAAGGATACAAGTCGTGGAGCTTCTTTCAAATTATAGTCGAGTTATGAAGACTCTTCGTGGGAGAAGTGTCCCGTTTTTTATCACGAGATTTTAGTTGATGATTGTAATACTTTTTTAGTTGAGTTTTGTTCTAACATGATTTGTCATATTCCTCTCCCCGGAAAGTTAATAGTATCGCTCATACGCTTGCTCATAAAGCGGGGACTCAACTTTTCACATGGATTTCATCTCCCCCGAGCTTTGTTTCTTATTTATTTAGTTAGTAATGAAATTTGATTAGAAACATAAAAAATTTAAAAATGAACAATTAAATGCAATAGTTGTCTATGAAACTTACTTTATGTTTCAAAAACTAAAAAAATGAATAATAATAAAATATTATTTCAAAAGCTTGTCAATATTTTTAAATTCATCTACAAGAAAAATAAAACTCGAATAAAAATAATAATTTACACACAATAAAATCTGAGCAAAATTTTTAAAATAAATTTATTAGGAGTCCTAAATGAAGAAATGTAAAGAGGGTATTATAATTTAAAATATATGTTTCACATTTGTTTATAAATTTGACAAAAGGAAAGAAAGCCCAAGAATAAAATTCCTCACTTGAAATTTAGAAGACCCATGAATTTGGAAGGCCTTTTTCGTGTTCTCACCCAAAAGGCCCAAAAATTCGTGATTCTGCTCCCCTCATTTGGAGGGCTTCTCCTGCCGCCGTCCCTGCAAACGTGGGAAGCACTGCCGTCGACTGCCGGAGCTCTGCCATGTTCGTAAAGAATCCACGGCAGATAAAGTGATGAGTGCTCAAGGTAACTCATTGACCTTCCTTCTATAGATTCTTTAGCAGTTATTCTCGTTCTCAGTTCAGTCCTATCCCCACGCCGGATAACTTCCAAAAGGAAGAGCGATATAATCACCGGAAATTTTCTGAATATGAGGATTTCATCTATTCTCAAATGCGTTTATGTAAGGAATTATTATAGAAGCTTCATATTGTCAAGAGCGATATTTGGGATTAAGGGTTCAATAGACAGAGATCAGAGGTATATGTTTTATAGCACGAAAAGTGAATGTCTGAAAATCTCGGAGGAAGCACCCCAACATTTTTCCAAGAAGATGAAGAGAGAAGCCAAGGCTGCTCTGTTAGAGTACCTGCATTCCACTAGAGGATTGCAGTATTCGGATGCAGATCACATTAGTGGGAACTCCCCAGTTTTTCTTAATAATTTGATGAACAAGGTGAACAGTGAGAGCCGTAGTGCAGGGTCTGTATCTCGGTATTTGAGGTACCACCCCATTAATGAGTTTGAGCCCTTCTTTGAGAGCATGGGGTTGCACCCGTCCGAGCACTCTCTGTTTCTCCCATCAAAGTTGATATTCTTGAGTGATGATCAGGCTCTGATTCAGAACTACCGCGTCTTCTGTAGTTTCGGGTTTGCGCGGAATAAGATAGGGAAAATTTACAAAGAAGCTCCTGAGATTTTCACGTATGGTCAAGGAGTATTGGAATCTAAACTAAATGAGTTTTCCAAGATTGGGTTCGACCAACTTTCTGTGGTTGAGCTTGTTCATAATAATCCTCGTCTTTTGAAGGGGAATATAGACAGAGAGTTCTTAAGATTCCTGGAGAATTTGAAGAGTTTTGGAATTGAGCAAGACTGCATTTTTCAGCAATTTGTTAAAGAAAACTCATATGAATGGAACTGTTTATCCCAAGCCTTACTCTTGTTCAGGAAGTTGGGTTTCAGCAAAGAGCAACTGGGTAAAGTAATAAGTGAAAATCCAGGGCTCTTGTTTGAGGGATCTGGTCGTAATGTAGTTTCAATTATGGGATTCTTGTGGAAATTTGGATGCGATCAGAATAAGATATATATGACGTTTGTTCATTTCCCACAAGTTCAAACTGGGATGTTTCTTCAGAACTTAAGGAATTGTTATCATCTTTTCATTCAAATAGATATGCCTGTACATGAGATTGGGAATATGTTTAGCTCACACACTTTGCTTCTGGGTTCATGTTCTTTAAAGAAAGTAAGTAGCTTGCTTAATTGTTTAAATACTGGGAAGAAGAAGCTACGTAAGATGATCTTAGAGGACCCACATGTTTTGAAGAAATGGGTTCTCGGGAAAAAAGTTGAACCGCTTCCAACAACAGAAGAGATAAAAAAATCAATAGCCATGAAAAACGAATTTGTATTAGGTTTGGGTTTTCATGAAAACAAGAGTGGAATAGAAAAAGCTATTAAAGCTTATCGAGGCAAAGGGTTGGAGCTGCAAGAGAGGTTTGACTGCTTTGTTAATGCTGGTTTGGATCCAAAAGACGTCTTCACAATAATTAAACGTCATCCTAATGTTCTCAACCAAACCAAAGAGAGGATTGAAGCAAAGATTGATTTTCTTGTGAACACCTTAGGATATCCAATCTCTAGTTTGATTACTTTTCCATCATACACTGCATTCAACACTCAGAGAGTCAAGCTTAGGATCCATATGTATAATTGGCTGAAAATTCAAGGGGGAGTGGATCTTAACTTGTCTTTACAGAGTATTATAGCTTGTTCTGAGAAATATTTTGTGAGTAAGTATGTCAATCTGCATCCTGAAGGCCATAGCGTTTGGGAAAAGTTGAAGAACGGCTTTATACCTATATGATCAAACTGCAGTAATTGTGAGAATCATTTGAAGATCATTTGAGATGCACCAATTTCTTAGCAAGTGTAAATTGTCTGACACACGAGGCTTTCAATTGTATAGTTTACACTGCATGCCCAGTTGGAAGAAGCCCAGAATCCGACAAACATATAAGGAGAGGCATCATAGAGGTAAATTTTACTTCAAGAACATTCCCTAGTTATTAGTGCCATTTTATAACTTTAGTATATTTTCTTCTAATGTTGTCTTCTTGAATTAACTTCTTTACTACACCTTTGACAAAAATAATACTTGGGGATATTAGGAAAATGCTAAATATATGCCGCACTTACACCACACCCGAAAGTTTGAACTATACATACTAGTTTTGTTGGTTAAAAGGTAATTTGAAAATAAATAAATAAAAAGACATCTGTATAGTAAAAAAATTAAGGTGTAGTGTAATTGTGGTGTACATGTAACATTTTGCATAATGCCATAATATTACTCGTATGTTAAATACACAGAAGAGATGATATGAAAGTTAAGGTTCATCTCCAAAATTAAAAGAGTTATGGATTCTAGTGTTTTGGTGCTAGTTATACATTAGGATTTCTACTTCCAATTTCTTCATCATTAAGTTACATAAAATTCAAGCCTTCTTAGAGTGTCATCCGCTCTTCCACTTTTGTCCTCATTTAGTCATTGTTTGGTTGGTGAGAAAATGATGGGAAAGAAAAGGGGAGATGAGAAAATACATTTTCCAACACAATTTCTCATGTTTGGATGAGAAAGAAAAATGCGAGAAAAGAAAAAAATTGTGTGGGTCTCATGCCAAAAACTTTCTGGTCAACCATGATAAGAAAACCGTAACGAAGGAATGGAACATGCCCCAAATTACAAAATTGCTATTTTCCCTCCCTTTTCTCTCCATTTTCTTATCATTTTATACCCATCCAAACACTAAACTTTTTCTCTTCATTTTCTCACCATTTTCTTTCCTCTCATTTTCCCTCCTCATCCAAACAAACCATTAGTTACAAAAAATGCAAGCCTT